CCATACTGAAGTGATTCCTCATGAATGCCTCCTATTTTTAATGTATAAAATGAAATGAACAACCACAACAAAGATATTAAACACAGGTTACTTCTAACTAAAATTTTAAAATGTGTTTAGAAATTTTCTGTCTACCTGTCTTAGGGAAATAATTCTTATGTAGCCATTCACTGTTCTACACCTGGCAGGAAGATTCCTCTTGGGTTTCCTTCTGAAGCCCTTCCTGATAATGATAATTATTTCTTTAGATTTATAAAAGATTCTTATTATAATTTCTATAAAATGAAGCTTTATTTGAGGGATAGCTGCTAGGAAAAGTGGAAAGATTGAAGTCTCTCATCCATTCTTTTTGTTGAGACCTAATAAATATGTTTGTATAAACGTGTCCACTCAAATAATGGGTGTGTATGTATGTCTTTGTATGATGTCAGGTTTTCCCTAAATTTCTTCATGATCTGCACTTAAACAACTGTTTCCTTTCTAAGAGGAAGAGGTAGGAATGTTACAGCTAGTAGCCACTTTCCTTTGGGGAGTGTATAAAGGAGTCTCTGTTGAAGGGCTTTTGCATTTCATTAGCAGACATTATATTAAAGTAGTTCTCTTTAGGGGAATAAAAGGGGCCCTTTATCCTGTGACTATCTGAAGCTCTACACTGTTCATTAAAAGGGCTGAACAGAGAGGCCTCACATCTTATTTCAAAGCTGGCATTAGATGAGTCTTTAAGGAAATTATTAGAGCTGCCTTTGTTGCCACCCCACCTCCTTCCCTTAACTCTTCTTGTGGCTCTGTGCAGATTTCCCTAAGGAAAGCAAGTGTGTCCTCTCCCCTGGGCTGCAACGAAGAGGAGATTTTCCATGCACGGCCAGTTAATAAACAGTTATTGGTAAGGCAGTCTGAGAGGGTGAAATGAGTTAATTCCCTTTCATTTATAAAAGAAACAAATGTATTTGAAGGGGGAAAAGTACTTGACCGAGGCCCAGAAACACGAATTATGAGAGCAGTACGGGTGCGGGTGGCATGTTGCAGTCAGTCACCCTCTAATCTTGCCTGGCTGTGCTAGGAACAAGGTATCAGAGAATCTGAGGGATGTGGTTACACTCACTGCACAGGACAAAGGAATTGCTGCTCCCGTTTGTCTCCACATTGAGAGATTTTCTTAATAAACTAACTGCATTTTCAGAACCATCTGAAAATGGATAATCAAGTTCAGTGTGTGGATGTGAACCATTATCCTTTAGACTTTTCCCTTACGACTTCAAGTAAATCCACATCTGTGGAAGTGAAAGCAGCCAAAGATAACTTTTGTTTTTCATATAAGCATCTGGCAAAATTCCCACCCACCGGGGACAAGTTTTATACCCCCCAAAACATATGGAACATTCTCATACTGCTGGAAAAAATAATCTGAAAGCTCAATTATGAAGTTCAGAGAATGTAGAGGTACGGGTTCTTGTACAGGGAGAAAACTGACTCACAGTAGCTTGTTGATGATGGCCTGTGTCACTGTATATGTAGGTGGGGTTTTCCTGTCCCGACTGTCTATTCCCAAATACCAAGAAGATGCTTCCAAGATTACCACACAAAGACTCAGTATGAATTATAAATGCTTGGCCGATAGCTGAGGCTTGTTACTAGCTAACTCTTATACTTAAATAACCCATATTTTTATTTATGCTTTGTCATGTGGCTCCTGACTTTTTACCTCATTTTTTACATGCCCTGCTTACTTGGTGGCTGGCTGGCATCTTCGATGACTCCTCCCTTCTCCTTCCCACCATCCTTAGTTTGGTTGCCCCACCTGTATTTCCTCCCTGGCTACTGGCCAATAAGCATTTTTTTTTTTTTGGTATTTTCGAGAAAGGGTTTCTCTGTATTGTTTTCCAGTCTGTCCTGGAACTGGCTCTGTAGACCAGGCTAGCTTTGAACTCACAGAGATCCACCTGCCTCTGCCTCCCCTGTGCTGGGATTAAAGGCGTGAGCCACCAATGCCCAGCCCATTAAGCATTTTATTAAACCAATTTGAGTGACAAATCTTTCCATTGTTCAAGAGAATTGTTCCACATCATTTCCTCCATTTTGTCTAATTAAAAATGGTGCAAGTACCTTTATCCTCAGGGCCATTTTTTTGGCCTCCCTTAACCAATTTCTTATTCCCTTTGGACAAACATTTTATGGTCACAGAGCAGTGGTAGGTATACATGATTCTTGACCTTCACAAACTTGCCTATATAACCTGTGTGTTAGCCATTTCTGAGTGATTTATTTACTACAATCATTACTGAACATGCTTACATTATGTGTGACCAATCCAGCTTTACTATTTACTCAAACACTGCTCTTTTGGCTTTTATGTTTTATGTTGTTCAGCAAGATGCTCCATATATCAAAACTATATAAATATAGATTAAGATGTCTTTTAAAATATAGTTCTCAAATTAAACTTACACCCAGATCTTGAACTCTGGAATTTTTCCTATTGTCTCATTTAACATTGTTTAACTGTTTTGCCATCAAAACTTTTTAACAGATTTTTTTCTCTGGGAGTAATGTTCCTCCCAGGTTCTTTCTCTGCATTCTAATAGTAGAAACTGGACAACTGCTTAGCTAGACCTACTAATCAGTGACATTCTGAGAGTCCCAGTCCATGGGAGGCATGCCCAGTGTTGGGAGATAGAGCAGGCAGAGCAAAAGGCCTCCCATTCTAACCAGTCTCGGAACAGCAGTGGCAGCAGGTGGCTGAAGTCTGGATGGATGTTAGGCTGTTCTCATCAGAAACAGCTGTGGAACCTGAGTTCTGGCTTTGTGGCCATCTAGGAGTATAGCACCTTTGGAACCCTCCTGTCATCTATGCTTTTAATACCTTCAAATCCTCATAATGTTAACTGTGAGGATGTTCTTATCTGGATTCACTATTAAAATGCTGGGTTGTTTCCATCAGTTCTTATGGAATCTCTTTTCCAACCCCTATTCAAAGGTTTAAGTCCATTTTTCACACACTAGTGAAAATAAATGAAGAAATGTCTGTTTCAAACTTTTCACATAGATCTTTTTATTGCCATGCACAGATCTCAGTTTCAGACTTTCCTTTGCAAAAAAAGACAACACATTTGTAGTATCTACATGGTACACTGTCGGTATCTATAATGTCCCTTTAATGCACCCTGGTCTTTCTTATCTTAGCTGGTTTTTGCAGTATGTGCTAACTGTAGATGGGTTTCCTTTAGTCTCTGATATTACTGTGACCTCTCCATTCCAAGCTTTATTCACATTTAGATTTCTCTATATCAGTGGTTCACAATCTTCCTAACATTTCAGCCCTTTAATACAGTTCTTCCTGTTGTGGACTCCCAACCAGAAAATTATTTGTATTGCTATTTCACAATTGCCATTTTCTTACCATTATGAATATTTATGTAAATATCGGTGTTTGAGGTAGACATGAATGACCCTTGTGGTAGGGTTGCTTGACAACCCAAGTGTCAAGACCCATAGGTTGTGAACCTCTGCTCTATATTGAATTTTCTTCCTTTTAGGCATTAACAGCTATATTCCAATGATAAGCATTGATGATTAAATCCAGACATCTCTTATCTCCCTAATGAGCCAAATCCTCTATTAGATTTAAGTTGATTATTGTGTATATTTCCCATATCATAATTAAGCAAATTATAATTTTGTTCTGATTAATTTATCCTTGATGGAGTTGGAGATACATAGTTATGTTTATAGTTTTCTTTCATTACTGTAAAAGATAAGTTTCATATAAGACCTTCGACTCACAAAGATAGGATAGATAATAGAATATTTTCTTTAAATCTTTCTAAAGTTAAAGGACTAGATTTTGTAACTATAGTTCTTACTTGATAACTGTTTTGTTATATAGTTTACTATGTTAATGTTAAAACCCTTCTTTTTATTTAGACAGAAAAGAGGAGATGATGGGGGAAGTCCTTCTGTGCATTTGTCTCTCTTATTAGTTAATGAATGGCCAATAGGGAAGCAAGATAGGTGGTACTAGAAGAGAGGGAGGATTCTTGGAAATGTAGTAAAGAGGAATTGCCATGTGATCCCAGGAGGAGAGGAGGCATAAGGCCAGCATCCCCGGGAAGATATTCCTTATAAAAATATATAGATTAGTAGTCATGGTTGATAATTAAGACTGAGCTCGCAAATAAGTAATCCTAGTTATTAACCAGCAGCACTGTAACTAATATTAAGTCTTAGTGTGTTATTTGGGGTCCTGAAGCAGCAGCAGAACCCAGGTGGCTGTCTGAAAGAGTTACCGTTACACTGGTGTCTCTCACTCCATCTAGACTCAAGAATGTATATGTGTAAAGGTTGCTTCTGCATTGACTCAGGCTTCCATCATTCAAAACTGTTCTATTAACTGGCAGATGGAAGAGAGGGGTTGGTTACTTGTTGAAATTGTTCTTACATTTTTCAGGTACTCTACTTTAGTACCGGCATCTGCTATCTTACAAAGAGAAGACTTTGAATACATTGCAGACCAAACCTGAGGGCTTTGTTTGTTTTTGTTTTTTTAATTTCATTGACTATTCTTATACAGGTTTGGTCTTAGCCAACTTTTTCTGTCTAGGCAAAGCTAAAATTGTTATCCTTCCCTGCTTTGTCTTTCTGTGCAAACCCAATGAGGCCACTGCTAACTATACCATATCGCTTCCTGGCAAGTCCAGTTCTCATTTCTTCACATGCCATGCTGACTTATTATTCTACATGTCAACATATATGGTTAGAATCACTACATATTATAAAGTTATTTCTTCAGTGCACAGCCAAGGAAAAATGAGATGTGGTATTCATGATAGGGGCATCAAAATGAAATTAGAAAAAAAGACAGAACTATAGATAGAGACCTTCATTTAATATTTGTAGAGAACCTGACTTTTAGTTAATATTTGGAGCTGGGGAAGATTTCAATAGTGGAGAACACTTTGTATATACTGGGTTTGATTCCCAAAAGCAAAGCCATCACAACAATGTAGAACAGAAACCTTTATTGTTAACCAGGTTTGAAGACATATACCTGTGTATTCATTTGCCAGGTATTCAAATCCAGAGAAAAGCAAACAAACACAAATCTTCAATATTGTGAGTGTAATTTCAACTGCTATGTACTGGAAAGGATTCCTCTTCCCCACTATGTGGGCATCACAACTACAATTCACATGAGATGTTTCTGTATCATCCTTGGAGCAGTATGATTGTCTCAGTATAAGCTTAAAACACATAAAGATGTTGTCTGTCCATACAGATATAATCTTATGCAGAAAAAGTTTCTGCAATCAGTTTTTTTTTCCACTTAACATTTTTATTACTTCTACATTTATGGACCATTAAAGTTACTACCATATCTGCGAAAGATATTGCCTAACACTTGGGGTGTGTGTGTGTGTGTGTGTGTGTGTGTGTGTGTGTGTGTGATTTCCAATAACATAACTAAATCTTTACAATAAATATTTTATTTAAAAATGTCCATGAAACTGGGAACTCCGAGACAATAATTGTCTCTGATAGTCATAACCATTGGAATAGGTTTCTGTCTGGATTTTCCTTGCATAGCATCAAAGTGATCTTCACTTTAGGAATTTTTTTCTTTCACATGGGTCTCTATATACACATTTCAAAGAATTCCTTGGTTTTATATTTTAAGCATTTAAAAGTCTTTTGGAAATCATAACTTAGCAGCATTTACCTTACTTTTGAGGAACTATTTTGCCTTTAAAATTTATATTGCCAATGAAATAATGAACGTTCTGAAATATTTTAATGTAAAAAAAACCTTTAGCTTCCTTTTTCATTTTTCCATGATATTTTCATTGTCTTGTAGAGAACAACCACCTATATCAAGAGAAGATTTTGCCTGCAATATTTCATGGTTTTCTTTCCTGTTAACATTATAAGATATTACCCTCATATTCAAAGTCAAACACTCTTGCAAAGTTTTAGTAAAACTATGATTCTGCAATTAGCTTCAGTGTGGTTCTAATCCTCAGTGGGTTTTGCATTTTAGTTCTCACTTCAGTTTGCAATGACATACATCAAATGAGATGATTAGTTACATGTGGATACAACAGAGTGCTTAAAGAGATATAAACTCACACAAGACCATATGTGACTTTCCCCATTATAACATTCATCCTTCCCATGGCAGACAGACTATGTAAGTGGTGTAGGCTTATTGTCTGCCATACATATAACATAGAAATAACAAGTATATGCCACAGACCTGGCAGCTTAAACAAGCAGAATATTATTGGATCATGGCACTCTAGGTAACAAACATCTCAGTACATGTTCACTTGGTTGCATTATCTGCAGAGAGGCCTATGAGGTCAAACCAGAATGGTGGCAGGAAGTTGTTTGTTCCATAGCCTTGTGAGGACAGTTACTTGATCGTGTATGCTGTCATCAGAACACAGTCCTTGCTGATAGAGTACTGAGATCCTGATTTCTTGCTGTCTCTCCACTGAATTACACAGGATGATCTTTCAATGGTAAAGTTGTAGACTTAATAGCCACTGCAATGTCTTTCTGTTAATTCAAAGCACTATAGTCACCATTAAAAAAGTTAAGGAACTAACATATGAAGATAGTCATTAGTCTCTAGAGAATAGACAGTCCAGATGGTCCTGGAGTCACCCTTTGCCCTCTCCATCTATTATTCATGTTTTCTTTATTCTTTAGAGACTCATAAGAATTTCTGGGGCCACATATCTACAGCAAAGATGGTGTTATTGAAACTTCTTTTGAAATCAAGATTTGCATCTTGATCTCCAGTTTGAGGCTCAGATTCAGCATATAGCTGGGCCCCTAGAAAAACAAGGAATACATCCCCAGTGTTCTGCATCCCTGCCCCTGAAGATCAGCTGAACCTTCAGCCTACAGTTCACTGACTACATGGTGTCACTTCACAAATCATAGGCAACCTATTCAGAATGTTCAATATCAATGTGCAGTGCCACCTAATGCCACCTAACCCAAATGCCTATGCACTTAACAAAACGCATGTGGCATTCCCTTAGCTCATTAGAAGGAAAAACTCTAACTTAAGAGTTAAGAACTTGACCTAAAATAAGAAAACTTGTTCTCTAGACTTGAAGCCACATCTATCCAGGTCAAAGCCCCACATTCACTGCTGTGTTACACTATGTGTGCCTGTAGCTTGGTACACTACCCATGGGATGATTCAGTGGTATCAGTGACAGTGTCGAGAGGAGATTCAGGAGAAACCTGTGTGCTTTTTGACACCTTTGCTAGGTGAAGTATGGGAGCCTCATGTGGTTTCCAATTTTATCTAGAAGAAATCATAAAGCCAAACTGCCTGTTCCAAAGAGTGTGTTAAACCCTGGTTTGGTGAATATTTAGTTTTCCCCTTTTTCTTCAGTGAGTATCCATACATTTATCCACTGCTGGTATGAAAACAGTAACAGATGCAAGCTTTGCCTAGTTAAACTGTTCATCATTTGTGGAGAGTGGTGCCATCAGCAAGAAAATTCAGTAAACTTAATATGTTAATTTTGGGCATTCCAATGAAGAATCTGGTATAACTTGAAGTAAAACCATAGTAATATTTAGGACAAACCTTTGAAATGAAAAATTATAGCAAAAAATAGCATATATATTCTGATATTAAAAATATATAGTTACCAAGTTACAAATAGCAAACATTAGTTTCAATGTATATGAAACCTTAAGAAGAGGAAGAAACAGAAAAAACACCTTTGTGGGCTCATAAACCAAAAGGAGATTTAAGAGAGTTTGGAGGGTGCTGGTCATTGGATATGTGGGGTGCTGATGAATAGAAGTGTGGGGTGCTGAGTGGATGTGTGGTGTGCCAGTGAGTGGATGTGTTGTGTGTCTTTCTAATCATTTAGTATCTTGATTCATGAGTTGAGATAAAATAATCAAAGATTTTCATTGTAAATGGGTATTAAAAACTACTAGCTTGAGAGGTTCAATATATATATATATGAATGTATATGTTTTATTAATTGTTGCATATATATGTATATACTCCACATATGTGTTGTTCAACAATAAAAAAAAACAAGCCATGAGTTTGAAAGAGGACAAGGAGGTACATATAAGAGAATTCAGAAAAAGAGAATGGAAAGAGGAGATGATGTAATTATACAACCTCAAAATAAAAGATATAATTTAAAAGCAAGCTAAGTTTGTTATATATAGTTGGTAAGAAAACTTGCAAGGATAGATTTTCTCCAGGAAGTAAATGAAGGTATTCTGTAGGAATACATAAAATAAAGGTATAGTTGGGGGTTGATGTATTCAGAAAAAAAAAGTGAGGTATTTAATAGTTCTTAAAGTGTGAGATTTCTGTTTACCACCATGATAAGGAAATAATTTGCTGAAATGTAGCAACTTTTATTGACTGTAATACTGAAGCAACGTCACTAAGCTGATGTCATTACAGGCTGTCATATATGTATATACTCCACATATGTGTTGTTCAACAATAAAAAAAAACAAGCCATGAGTTTGAAAGAGGACAAGGAGGTACATATAAGAGAATTCAGAAAAAGAGAATGGAAAGAGGAGATGATGTAATTATACAACCTCAAAATAAAAGATATAATTTAAAAGCAAGCTAAGTTTGTTATATATAGTTGGTAAGAAAACTTGCAAGGATAGATTTTCTCCAGGAAGTAAATGAAGGTATTCTGTAGGAATACATAAAATAAAGGTATAGTTGGGGGTTGATGTATTCAGAAAAAAAAAGTGAGGTATTTAATAGTTCTTAAAGTGTGAGATTTCTGTTTACCACCATGATAAGGAAATAATTTGCTGAAATGTAGCAACTTTTACTGACTGTAATACTGAAGCAACGTCACAGAGCTGATGTCATTACAGGCTGTCATGCCAGGGTAAGACCAGATGAAGACACAACCACAAGCTGAATAAAATCCATATAACATGCAATGCCCAGGGTAGCAGAAAACTCAAACACTTTTAATGATAGGAACTTAACTATTCAAAGAGTTAATCTAGTGACTAAAACAAGTTAATCATTAAGAATTATGTAATGGACTGTGGCAGTGGTAGCATACACTTTTAATCCCAGCACTAGGGAGGCAGAGTCAGGCAGTTCTCTGTGAGTTTGAGGCCAACCTGTTCGACAAAGTGAGTTTCAGGACAGCCAAGACCATACCACAGAGAAACCCTGTCTTGAAAAAGCAAGAAAAGAAGAAAAAAGAAAAACAGAAGAAAGAAAAACAAACAAACAAAAAAAGAAACAGTATATCCCCATGGTGGAACATTTAAAAGTTAGAGAGATTTATGTATACTGACGCAAGGAGGGACGCCAATAAGGCGTCTGATAAGGTAAGTCTTATAAAATATATAGGTTATGATAATTAAGACTGAGCTAACAGATGAGAATCCTAGTCATTGGCCAAGCAGCATTGTACCTAATACAAGTTTCTGTGTATTAATTTGGGCCCTAACTCAGGCAGGCGGCTGGCGTAAAGCTCACACATGGCGGTGGGGCTCAGCGGCTTTTGTCGGAAAGATTTTTTGTAACAAACAGAAACCATAGATTTTTTTTCAAATTGATTTTGTTATATATTTGTTTATAGATGTATGTCCACATGTATGCGGGTGATCAAGGCATTTACAAGTGGACATCAGCTTCTTTGGAGCTAGGGTTGCAGGCATTTGAGTCTTGCCAAATTAGATGCTGGCATGCAAACTGACCTCCTCTGATAAAGTAGCATGTGCTTTCACCTGCTGCACCAGAAACCACAGGAGAGACAAAGTCTATGCACGAATTAAAAACTAGTTTGAAATGAAAGTCCCACTAATTTTTATAGGACTGTGATAAAACACCATGACCAAGGAAAACTTTAGGACGAAGTATTGTAGCTTATGATTCCAGAGGGATAAAGGTTCATCGTGCTTGTGAGGCATGGCAGTGAGTGTCAGGTGTGGTGATAGGAAGCTGAGAGGTCACATCTTCAATCAAAAGCACAAATCAGAAGGTGAACTGGAAGGAAGGGAAGTTATAAACTCTCAAACACTGCACTTCCCATAACCAGTGACTCACTTCCTCCAGCAGAGCTCTACTTCCCATAACCAGTGACTCACTTCCTCCAGCAGAGCTCTACTTCCCATAACCAGTGACTCACTTCCTCCAGCAGAGCTCTACTTCCCATAACCAGTGACTCACTTCCTCCAGCAGAGCTCTACTTCCCATAACCAGTGACTCACTTCCTCCAGCAGAGCTCTACTTCCCATAACCAGTGACTCACTTCCTCCAGCAGAGCTCTACTTCCCATAACCAGTGACTCACTTCCTCCAGCAGAGCTCTACTTCCCATAACCAGTGACTCACTTCCTCC